TGGCTGGGGAATTCTGGGAGTTGAAGTCCACACATCTCCAAGCTGCCAAGGTTGAGAAACACTGCTCTACCCCCCATTCCCAAATCTGGCAGCAACTTTCCAGGGACCTAGACCTTTCTTTCTTATTGCCAACCAAAAGGCCCTTTTCATCTGGAGCTCCCCGGATTGAGCCTGCAAGCATTTCAGTTGCACAGCACCGCACTCACCAATAGTCTGTCCAGCCACTCAACTGAATTATATCCTCAAACCCCCCAACTTTCCCTCTAAAGAAATCCACTGGCCCTTCTGGGGCTTGTGGTTTACAGGCTACAAATGCAGTCCAAGTTCAAGCTGAGTTCAGTGACAGCTATCAAAAAAGGAAGACTTATCTGAACCAGGATATTGTTTTCCAGCTGCAATCATGCTATCTCTTGGCAGCAGGTTCCTTTCTCTACAACTCCCTGAGTAAATAAGTAGATTCCTGATGCCGTTCCAGCTTTAAAATATGCCTTTGAAGGGCTCAGCCAGGAGCAAGCCACAGTGATTTTCCCCCATCAAACTTGTCCATGTGATCCTCTAGCACACTTCTAGCACAGAGGTAGGTATGTCCTCGGTTAGATAAGGAATGTAGCTGAAGTTTACTCATGTCATGAGCTGACAATCTGAACAGTGTGCAAAAATAGGGAGCATTCAGAACTTGTCAGGATATTAACTAGGTAGATTAGCACAAGATGGATTAAAGGAATTTAGAGCTAGCATGAACTCCCTACCCTGATATTATGCCTCCATAATGGCCTTCTCCTGTTTTCCTTTATTTAACTAAATTAAGCCCATGTTTATTGCAGGTTTGTTTCCCTCCTAAAAAGGACAAGAAATATGCCACTGATTTTTGGCAGCAGTGGTCTGATGGGATTCTGGGGTTCACAGAAAGGAGATAGGGGCCACTGCACTACATTAGCACATTAATTCTTAAAACAACTCTGTAAAATAGTTATGCTTTACCCCTCTCCTACTGCAGACTGCTCAGGTTGGAACTGAGAGCTACCTGCCTATAGCACTGATCTTTTACAGATTCATTCCCCAGACTGATGTTTTACTTCAATCATTTTTCGGGGGGTGGGGGGAACTTTTTTTCTGGGACAGGCATGCTTGGAAGTGAGCAATGGCCTTTATTTAAAGGATAAATGCTTACATAAACATAAAACGTTGAAAAGAAGAAGAGCAATTTGCTAACTTTAATTCAAATTAGTAAGATTAGAAGGCAAGAGAGACTGGCAAAGACTCCTTAATGGGAAATAACACCATTCCCCAATGCACCACTGGTCATGCTGGTTGGGATTATTCACTTAAGTTCAAAGGATTTGGAAGCTACTTATTAATCTTTGCACCATCTCTAAAGCAGGGTTTCTCAACTTTGGCAACTTTAAGCTGTGTGGACTTCAAGTCCCAGAATTCCCCAGCCAGCACTGGGGAATGCATTGGCTGGGGAATTCTGGGAATTGAAGTCCACACAGCTTAAAGTTGCCAAGGTTGAGAAATGCTGCTCTAAAGTAAGACTATGATATTACTCACATTCTGACTTGGAAAATGTATAGATAAATATCAAAAAGAGTTTAATCCTCAGGGTTTTTAAGGATTTTTTTTTTTTAAAGAAGTGACTTCGGTAGAAAGTTGTGAATGGTCAGGTTAGAGCTTTTCTCTGTTTTCTGTAATACTTGAACTCCAAGTGATCCAGTGAAAACGAATTGGCAGTAATTTAGACCCGGGGCAAATAAGTACTTCTTCAGGCAATATGCAATTAAATGTTATGTTTCTCTCCCAAAAGGTGTAGAACTTACCACTGATTTCATCTAGATGTTTACTTAGAAGACAGTTCTACTAAATTAAATATTTACCACAAATACTTCAGTGACATTTCTTGAAAGTAAAGACATGCATAGGATTTGGCTGTAACCCTATGAACATTTACTTAAGAGGTAGCTCCATTGAATTTAACAGAACTGTCTTTCAAGTAAAGTTTTAGGGGGGCTTATTCTTGAGTAAAATAAGCACAGCACTGCAGCCTCATAAAAATTCCCAGAAGATGGACCTATCAGTGAGTCTTACAGTTAGAATACTTAAATAAATAAAATCATCTCAACATTGACTTTGTATCTGATACCACTTCTGCTAAGTGAACCTACCAAGAAGCTTTGGTTCAAATAACACAACATACACAAACCCAGAGACAAACATACACTTTAGATGTTAGATGTAATTTTATTAACTGGGTGCAATGGTAGAATAACCTGGTTGCCAACAAAAACAAAGAGAAATTTGCCACCATTGTGCCACACAGTTCCAATATCTTATGACAGGGCAGCTGAGATCAGCAGAAAAATAGAGCCACTATAAGTTAATCAATCGTAGAAGAGTCTTTCAAGAATTATTTAACAAAAATAGGTTCATGCCATAATCAAATAGTTGTGGTTCAATATTTTTGCAGCAAAATAATTAATATGGATGCCTGTGGAACTGCTGCTGCTGTTTGTTGTTATTATCATCTACATCTAAGTGGGCATATGAGGAATAGCTCAGCAAGAGACCTGAATGCATACATTGTATACAGACTGTCCCAGGTTGATTTTCCAATATCTACGTTTACCAAATCTTAAATACTCAGGTAGGGGAAGAAACTGTCTAACACTTGAAGAGTTTCTACCTAAGCATCTTTGGACTGCCTGATTTAGTATACAGGAGATTCACACTGTCAGGACTAATTTTATAACCATGTAATATCCACAGAGTCAGATATATTTTCCCCACAACAGGCATCTTTACCTAAAGAAACCCCTTTATTCTTCAGCATCTTCAATTTTCTCCAGCTTCAAACTCCTATTCATGTTAACTGATTCGGACTGGCGGGTCAGACTTCTATTTGGAGGTTATCAGCATCTGTGCTTGGAGGACTCACACTCTCTGTGTGCTGCACAATGCAGTTCATAAGAGATCTCTCACCTCCATTGCTCAATGCCCCAAAGGCAAGACTGGGACCTCTATTCTTTAGTGTGCTTCTATTAGTTTTGAAAGAGGGCTAGTTGGGGTAATGGTTAAGGCAACAGCTAGAAACCAGGAGACAGTGAATTCTGGTCTTGCCTCAGGCACGAAGCCAGCTGGGTGACCTTGGGCCAGTCCCTCTCTCTCTCAGCCCTAGGAAGAAGGCAAGGGCAAACTCCTTCTGAAAATCTTACCAAGAAAACTGAAGGGACCAGTCCAAGCAGTCACCAGGGATCAACACTGACTCAAAGGGACCAATATATATATATATATATATATTGAAAGCCAGATACTTAAAAACTTGCTTCTCCCAATACCATGCAATTTATGGACTACAATTAGCTCGGGAGTCCCAGTAGATTTACAGAATGGTGGCCAAAAGTACACCCTTCTTCATTATAGTGTCCCAGTTATGGAAATTTCTTCCAAGAGACCTTTAGGTGATCTCTATATTAGCTTCTTCCATAAAACAACTGAAGGTGTATGTGAAGACATATCTCACAGCCACCACTAGATTGCCTTTAAGTTTGCCTGTTGTTTTCCTTGGTTTTTTTTTTTAAACAAACTGTTTTTAATTATTTTATTCATTGTTTTTAAACATTGCTTGTTTTATTTGGTTATTTTACAGTGGTTCCTCTTTGTTTGGTTTGATGTGACCAGAAATGGAAATGGAAGATATTAAGCTGCCAGAATTATCTTATTTCAGATAAAGCTGAAGTAAAGATGACCCCTCCCAGGAATACCACCCTGCCACAATGAGGCAGCACAGCAGTATTGAGCAGAACATCTCAGACTAGGCATCCAAATTTATGCTTGTTGTAATTCATGCGTAGAAAATCTAAAAACAGGGTATCTCATCTAGTTTAACCTTTATATATGTTTTCAAAAAACTTCACATACATTATCTGAAAATCTATTTTAGAATTCAAAGATCTAAGACAGACCTTTTAGACTTCAAAGGTCACCAGGTTGTGCAAGTTTTATCACAATAATTCACATACTATGTCTGGATGGCTGCATTCAGCCTGATTGTTCAGATTCATTCATTTATATTTATTTTAAAAGATTTATATAGCTGCCCATGTTGTAGTAATAATCCTGGGCTATGCACAAAACAGTAAAAACAACAGAAACCTCCAACCAAAAAGAAAGTAAGTAAAAACTCTATGGTTTGTTACCCTGTCATTTCTGATATGAGTGCCGTATCTCATATAAGCTCTCTCAAGGTGCAAAACCAACCAACCAACCAACCAAAGAAGCAAAAACCTATGACCCAAATACAATACTCAGGGGCAGCTCAACACAGCCTGATCATGGTCAGTGAAAAACTGAATGGAGTATCATGGAATGACTACACCCTAATTTAATTATGGTATCCTTTCAGCACTCTCTAATTCACTACTTCATTAGAAAGTTTTTGTTATGAGGAGAAAAGCCTTTCAATTGCTCAAAGATATTGTATTATTGTATTACTGTAACTTATAAAAATAAGTGACTAACTCAAGTTGTTTTCCATGGCGTCTTTTTTTGAGTTTCGGTATTATGCATGATACTATCTAATTATACATAACAAAAATTGGAAATCACCCCAGTATACTTGCAACAAGAGAACCCACTTTTACTATAACTTGAGATCAACAACATGACAGCAAATAAAACACAAAAATGTTAATTGGTATAGAGGCTATTTTATAATCACCACATGCAGACCAAGCTGCCCAATCACTCTATAATTTGCAAATCCTTTTTGTATTTTTAGTTCATTCAAAGCCTACACTGAATAAGGTAAAGTATAACTCTTCAGGATATAGAAGGCTTCCTTAATATACCTTTCCCAAATATCTACACAATAATTTTTTTTTAATCCATTCTAATTACTAGAACATACATCTGTTGCGAACAAGTCTTTGAAAGGGAAATGTGGAATAATAGAATCCTTTTAGGACTTTACCATTTGAAGTTTGAACTCTCAGTAACAGATTACATACTGTCTGCAGCCTGCCATCAAAAAAGATTTCCAACCATTGGTTAAACAACTGTAATTTTATGAGTTGATTCCATATTTCCATATTCCAATTCATATTTATTCTCTCACTGTTTTGTAAATGATTCCAGTGTTTCCTATGTTACTAGTATTTTCCATCCAAGTCTGATCTTTGGTAACTTAAAAAAGTCATATATGTTTATAGCAGTAATTTTGTTACATAAACAATTAGTGAAGCTTTCAAGGACTTCTGTAACTTTAATTAAAGGCTTCCTACTACAGTGGTACCTCGGGATACGAACGCCTCTACTAACGAACTTTTTGGGTTACGACCAGCTCCGGCCGCAAAAATTTACCTCGATGTGCGAACTCCGCCTCGGGATACGGCCATTTTTCCACCCCTGACACGTGGTCCGCGGCCATTTTTCCACCCCTGACATGTGGTCCGCGGCCATTTTTCCGCCGCACCGTGCCCAGCCGTTTTCGTGCTGTGCCGCGCCCGGCCGTTTTCTCACCACACTGCGCCGCGCCCAGCCGTTTTCGCGCCGTGCCCAGTCGTTTT